AGTATATATATAAAAAGATAGTGTGTATATTAACACGCATATCTGCTGAGCAAACATACAGAAATGCCACTGCTAATAACTTTTAACTAGTTATTTTCTACACTGATATACACGGAAACAGCATTTTTTACACAGGCTTCATTTCCTTATAACTCAAAGTATTTAAAGCTATTAATTATGACCTGAAAAACTGCAAATGATTAATAAGGTGAGACACAGAGAGTGATAAATTATTTGCACAAGGTTAGGGAAAAAATCCATAGCATTATATGGACATCCTATTTCTTGTTTCCTACTCTTACTCCTTAAAAAATTTCTTCTAAGAGATTGATGGCAATTAGTCTCCATGGAACCATGACACAATTTAATGAATCATACAACAGGAAAAGCCTATCTCTGAAAAAAAATGTCTTTCCTGTTTCAATAGTATATTTGTAATGTACAGTGACAGGAGAAGACCGGAAAAAGGGACAGTTCTCCTGAGTGGGTTGATTAATTAACATGGATTGCCTGAATTAAGTCCAAGAAAGCTATGCCAAGGAGGAATCCTGTACTGTTTTTCCTAACTGAGGTTGGGTCAGACACATTATCAGAAGAACACAAAAGGAAATCACAAAGCCAGGTATAAGACTGCCCTTTCAGAGCAATGAAGACATCCTTGATGCAGATCATGGGCCAAAGAACAGGAACTCAGGAAACGGGGATAAGGAGAACACAGAATATGAACGCTATCAAAACTAAGAATAGCTGTTTTGTCCGGAATTGGTGTTTTACATGATTTCTACAGTTATGTTATTTCCTGTTTGATGAGAGATGATTCCGAACTGTGGGCTTATATCCAAATCTCCAGTTCACTAAGGCCTAGAAGGGATCAGAAATAAGTAAGGTTCCCTCACAGACTTTCCTAATAGTTAATAAAGTAAATTCTATGAAGTTTGTTTTTTTCCTTTTTTTTTTTTTTTTTGTACAGCTGAATGCATTTTTTTTTAAGTTATATAAAAAAACCCAAACAACTGAAAACCAGCTTTTGACTATAAAAAAAACAACTGGTAACTTTTAAAAGTCATAATTGGACACAGGAAATCATAATATTATTATTTAATAATTTAAGTTTCCTAAAACAGATACCATATATTATAATGGAGAAAGTTTGGGCAAGACTGCACTGCATTCGTTAGCTTTTTCTACAGAATTGGTATGGGTTGGTATCCATTACACTCCACACAGTAACTCAGAATAAATTACTCAGTGGCTCCTGCAAACTCCATGCTTTGGTAATGTCCATTCCTCCTTGGCAAAGGTGTTCAAGGTTAATCCTGATGCTAAAGCTTCTTGAAGTTCCTCAACTGTACTGTCTCTGTGCTATCCAGAATCATCAGCAATGTGGTCCTCTGTGAAACATTTCCCCCCAACATTTTTCTGCTCTCAAAAGTACTTTATGTACTCTGTATCTGATTTTCTTAAAGACATGTTTCTTCTCCTCCAAAGCTCTATGGAAAGTACTACATCCAGTGGAACTGAGTGAGGAGATACTGGGGTTAGTGACAGGTTAAGAGCATAACCCACATTTGAAAGGACCTTAAGAGGTCTACAGTTCAAGCTCCTACACAAACCTAGCTCTGGCGTAAGGTCAGACCAGGTTGCTTAGGGTTAAATAAAATACTTCCTTGAAAACCTCCAAGGACAGAGCCTGTACAACCTCCCTGGTCAACCTTCTCTACTGTTTGTCTGCCTTCATGGTGAAAAACAGTTTTCTGATATACAATCTGAGCATTCATTGCCTCACCCTCCCAGCATGTGCTGTTGTGAAGATCCTACCGCCTCTCAGCTCCCTGTGGGCTGCTGTGCAGGCTCAACCTTCTACCAAGTCAGAACAGCCCCTCTTCTTCATCAGCTGAATGCTCCAGTCACTGGAGGCCATCCCTTGAACTAAAGGTGATGAAGCTTTGGTTGACTTCAGAGCTTAGATGACCTCAGAGACGGAGCTAGAAGAGTCTCATCAGTATAGTCCTACAATTAGATGCATCAGTTCTATCAAAGAACAGTGAGTGCTGTACAGTGCCAGGTCTCTGGGATTCGAGCAAGGATTTCTCACAGTATTGCATATACTGTATATATGGTACATGGCAATTCACTGTATGACAAAAATATGCATCTGTATTCAACAACTTAGTTCTTGAATAATACAACATCAATATACTGCAAAAGGAATATGAGAAACAATATCCTAAAGACATTTCTCAATGAATATCAAGACAAATCAATATCAAGATATATCAAATGACAAGATATATCAAATGACAAGATCTGTATCTCTCCTATCATCAACACATATGCAGAGAATGAATGGTAATATTTTTTATAATGCAACTTCTATCGTTCCAGATCCATCAGCTAGCCAGTACCTTAGAATGTGCTTATCAGCATACAGTATATCATGCTAAGAAAAGAAAGAGGGAAAGCATTGAACAGGTGTGAAAAGAATCAAGCTCAGTAACCACGTGAGGAGTACTCAAAACACATTTAAGCAAAGAAGGGATTATGAATCAATGAAGCCCAGCGTTGCAAATATAGCCTGTATTAAAGTAAATTGCACAATCCCATAATATTTCAATAAATGCAACATCTACAAGTGAGGATTCAAAGATATGAAACTGCTCACAATGCCAGGAAATACCTACAGAAGTACTAGTATAAACCAATATGATAGAGACAGAAGTCTGTCACAACACCCAGAGCTGAAATGTGCCAGCAAACACTCACTAAGTTATGTCAACTCACTTGCAACTTTCCTTGGCAGCTCATGTCTGACTTCTGTCAAGAGCTTCAAGAGTGATGTCCAATCCAATTAATATATATTAAAATCTGGCTTATATGGTTAAGAAATAACAGTCACCCACTTCATTTTGGGATCAGAGTCTCTCTAGTCTCTTTAAGGAGGGATACTTTTACTTTACTCAGTTCCAACATTCACCTTAATATCTTCATTAAGCAATCCAATTAAGCAGAAACTAAGGTTAGTAAAGCCACCCTTTACCCAATATTCAAATATAATCACATCAAAGAAAAAGTTGTTTCTAATTTAAATAGTCATCAAGAAACAGTTTGTCTGCTGGAGGTCTTGATGACACACTTTTTCCTATAATCTTTAGATATATCATTGATTCCATTACCTACTATCAAGAGAAATAGACTCCTTATGCAATCTGGTTTAGAGACACAGTAACTCTCTGGCTTTCTGGTGATACCAATGGGTCCACTCTGCTCACACTGAATGAGTGTCCTTCATTTTTCCTCCTCTTGTCTCTCTTCTATCCTTCCATGCCAGAAAAGGAACGATTTCTCCTATTCCTGCTCAAATACGCAATCATCATTTCAGCCATCTGCTTCAATACAACAAACTCTTCATAGAATCCCATCTAAATGGCAAATCATTGGAGATTAAGATGATTTATTTTAGTTCAGTGCAGTGTCACCAGTTTGAGTTTTAATAAAATAAAAAATAACTAAGGGTTTGGGAAATACTATGGCTTATCTATGTAAAAATTCCCTCTCTTGCCAATATTCTCTATCGCTGCTGACAGACATTAGAACATTCCTTTCATCTCCTTCCTCTTCTCGCAGTTAAACCTATCCCCTTAAGGAGTATTTGCTTTCTCTAAGATAGATTATACATTGTATGCAACAAGAAAACCTTACACGCTTTCTCTACCATCTGCGAGGCTTTTCTGCCCACTTCCTTAAGAAGAATTAATTCAAAACCCTTGTTACTCTTTCCATTTTGGATAAATAAACCAGGATTACATTTCTGTTAGAAACTGAAACAAAAGGATTACTATTTCCACATAACGCATCTAAATTAGAGAAGTACTTCTGAATATGGTCAAACACATTTCCAAACCTAGTGGGATCAAATGTGGAATGCAAACTGTGATAAAGAACAAATACAAAGTGCACACATACATACACACACACAAAACACCCCCTCTATTCATGCAGAAAATATCCGCATGAATCTAATGTGGGAATGATTTCATTCAAATAATTCTTTCGGCATCCCTGTGTGATTCCAGGATGTGCAAATTAAGATAAATGTTATGGGTCAAACTATTCTTACCACTACATGTGCTCAAGTCAACTGAAATTGATGACAACTGGATGCTGTGTCAGAGGATGGAATTTGGCTCAGAAAGTCACAATGTAAGGAAAATATGTTATAAAAATAAAAATGGCACGGTGCTCCGAATGAGGAAGGAAACAATTCTTGATGTGGCTTGGGATATAGAGAAGCATAGAAAATTAGGAAAAGTTGACCAAAGAGCTAGTAGATTGTTAGATAAAGCTCAGTCATCAAAACAGAGCCAACCTCAAGGATCTGGATGAGGATTTGCCCCTGATGAAGCTAACCCCATTTCACAACTAACTCCAATGTAAGTAAAGCTAAACTAGCTCAAAGTCCTGATCCACTTAAAAAAGATACTCATATTTTACTTTTATATTCTTGGGAAATTCAAAATAGCTATTTAAGACCTCATCATTGCAGATCTTTACATCTAATTTCATTAAACGAAATACTGTGATCAAACCTTTGGTATGAACTTCCCTTTTCTTCCTTCTTTATTTTTAACAACAGAAATGTCCCTAAAAGACGTCTGTGTAACTTGCAAAATAGACCTAAATCAAAACCAGATACACATATTCATGCAGACGATTTAGCAGTAATATTTCTAGCAGTGGGAGTTTGCAAATATTATCAAATCCATGTTCAAATTTTATGACAACTGGCCGATGAAAACCAGAAGCTATTCTGACACACATTTTAACCAATTTTTCTGCTACTGGAATGAATATGAGCACAAATGTCTTCCTGTTTAAACTTTTGTTCATTTGAGTGAAATGTGAAGATGTGTCATGTCCTCAGCTGAGTTCCAGAACTATTCAGGATGTCATGTAACATTTAATTTCAAGCTCCATTTAGAAAAAAGAATTAAACATCTAACCTGGAACAGCTATCCTCCCAGCTGTTGGGTGATCCATTTCCATTACTAGTCCATTGTGCAGCACCTATTAAAAAAAAAAATTATATATATATATATATATGTAATAAAAAAACAAACAACTAGGTCTTAAACTCAAGAGTAAAAAGGATACATATATTTCCATGTTCTTTAAGAGAACATAAAAAATCCAGGGAGCTACAGTTCATGTAATCTGCATAATTTATAAAATGAAAGCCCTGATGTTTGACGTTGTTCTCTATGCATCTCAATAAATACCTCAGTAAGACTTGACATGTCCAACATACCTTTAAGCTCCTGTATCCAACGTCAAACAGAAGCAATTGAGCTGAAAGCACATCACACTTTCCACCACTGACAAACAATTGGTAGCAACATGGAGAATTGAAACCTTCAACCACTTTCACTTTTGCTCTGCCACATGTGTTACAAGCCTATGCAGAGATGATGCTTTCTAGTTTTCTTCGCTGCTATTCAGCTGTCTTTCAGCTTATGATAGATCACACTACGCAGTGCTGTCCCAATAGTTCTTACAAACACTGGGGAAAGCCATCATAAATCTGATGTTACTTCTGTTCTGTTTAGTAGGTATAACATAACCCTCTATCTGCATGGGATGATTACTCATCACAATTTCCAATTCTGTGTTATTAAACTCAACTAGAAAACAAAGGTATATCAAAACTCTCAAATAACAGAGAAAAAATAATTCACAGCGGAATTTTTACTATTTAATGGAAATCTACCTATGAAGCAAATAAGCAGTCTTTTTTGTTTCCTCACTTATTACTCTGACATCCTTCTAACGCTGCCACCTTAATCACATAATTGGTATTTGTTTTTTAATGTAAATATCTCGTAGAGATAACTCTGCCATTAGCCAATCAGCTTTATGATTTTTAAAAAGTAAAATATGTTTTGTAGTGTACATCAACTATATTACGTATGAGGGCTGCTTCAAAAATAAAATCCTGTTTTATTATGTTGGTCCATGATATCAGAGGTAGATGGTGGTGGTATAGCAGAAGTTGAACCTTCCTGCCAATATTCTGTTTGTATTGCTGCTGTGTGACAAATGGCACCAGAGGAGCAGTCTGACAGAACCATGTCTGACATGGAAATGCATACAAAGAAATAGTGTGTCATTAAATTCCTCCATGGGGGAAAAAGAAATGAACACACTGACATTCATCTACTCTTGCTGAACTTTTATGGAGAACAAACAGTGGATGTGAGTGCAGTGAGGCGGGTGGTGCATTTCAGCAGTGGTGACAGTGACAGTGGGTCATCTCCAATGGTGCAGATTTTTATGAGTGCAACATGCAAGCTCTTGTTCATTACAGGCAAAAATGCATAGCAACCAGTAGTGACGATGTTGAAAAATAGTGTTTTGTAGATGGGAATTTGCTCAATCAAACAGTGTTACAGGGCTCTTTGCATCTATTGTAGTTTATTCGGAAAAAAATAGGAGACATTACTTTTGGAGGGACCTATGTATTTTATATGCAGCCCAAGACAATGTCTCTTCACTCAGTGTGGCCTAAGCAAGATAAAAGGTTGGACTCATGAGTTAAACATTTCAAACAAGCTTTTAATTGACTTTGCAAAGCTTTGCATGTATAGCAATGAGGAATTCTCACCCTTGAATTTCATCAGAAACATGAATGACTGACGCAGGACAGCAGATAATCTGGTTGGAAGGGACCTCTGGACAACATCTAGTCCAGCCTCCTACTTTTCACCTCCTACTTTTCATGTGCCTACTGCCAACAAGCAGTCAGGACAGCAGCAGCTTTTCCTGAACATGTCATGAAATCCTGCAAGGATGGAGATTTCACTACATCCAAGGAACAGGTTCCCATGCTGTGCCATATTCCTAATAAAACACATTTCCTAATATCCAGTCTCAACCTGCCAAATCTTCATTTGAGGCTGTTGCCTTGGGCTATATCATTTTATACTACTGTATCTCTGTTGATTACCTTCCCATTAGCAGCTGGGGATGCTATGAAAGTTCCCCTGAGCATCCCTTTTGCTGGACTAAACCAGCCCAGCTCCCTCCCTCTCCCCAAGTGCTGTTATCCTGGCAGCTCTCCTCTGAATCCACACGAGTTTCTCAGCAGCCATTCTGAAATGGGAGGTCCCAAAACTGGACACAGAAATCTAGGGACAGACTCACCAGTACAAAGAAGCCAAGCATATGGTCTGCCTTATTAATGAGGAGAGCATGATGCTGATCCTGTTTAGCCTGGCATCCATTGTAACACAGGTTTTCAGTAGATGTCAGCCCACCAGATCTGTCTGTACCCATTTGTTTCTTTTTGTTATCATTTTTTTCCTCTCCAGTGCAAGTGTGGTTAATTGGACCCTATAAGAGCTATCAGTTGGGAAAAAGAAACCAGAAAGAAATCTGAAATCAGACTGTACCTAATTCTTTAGAAAGAGTTAATGCAACAGGAGGATCAAGTATGTTATATCTGATATGTTTACATCGTACTTAAGTACACTGATTACATTATACTACTGTTCTAAAACTACTTAATCTTTTCCCAGAGCACAAACATTTTGAGGGAAGAAGAGGCTCTGGGAGCCTGATCCTGCAGTTCTTACATAGTTACAGTTTTCTGTTGAGCCACTGCCATTAATAAAGAGTTTAAATACTTTTCTGAAGTATGTTCTATGAAAGAAAGAGTATAAAGGTTGGAATCTCACAGTTTCCAGATGAACTTTTCCTTTATTCCCATCTATTTCTTAAAAGTATGCCCAGGTAGGTACAGACACATATCCCACACATTAACAGCTTGCCAGTGTTACTCAGAATCCTGCTGAATTTCCTGCTGAAATTCACAAGTCTTTAAACTGGAGAAAGACATTCTTTCAGAATGCTGCTATTGTCTGCTAAAAATATATATACTTAACAGGAAAATATGTGAATTACTGATCTGCCCGTTTTTTTCTGCCCAAAGCGATTATGAGAAGTTCCTTAAATGCATTCTGTGTCTCTGAAGCTGAAATTTTCAGATAGACAAAACCTGTTTTGTTTAGTTGGTAGCATTATTACTTAATTAGTAGTAAAAGAGCAGGATCAAAGGACTTTTATTAAGAAAAATCAGCTGACAGCAGTATAAGGAATCAAGATCTTACACATGCAGTAGGATATGCATCTCTGAAGAAATGTTCCAAACAGCTATTCATATACAGAATTAAGCTGGTAAACTATTTCCTCCAACTATTTTGATTAAAAATTGAGCCAAAACACTTGTTTGAGAAAAAAAAAAAAAAAGAAAACACATTTTGAATGGGAAAGCAACTTATGTTGCTTGAACTTAGAAAGAAAAAGAAAGAAAGAAAAAGGAAAAAAAAGTCTGGAGAACAGGTGGCCATGGAGAGACCTCATAATAAAACAGGAGGCATTGCTTTCAGAGCAGCCCTCATGTTACTGATGTTGACTGTTCACTATACAGAGATGATTCCTAACATTCACTGCACAACCTATGTCCCTGTGCTGGAAAAAAGACACATCAGGTAATGCATCAAGCTAATAGAGACTCTGAAATTACCCTCAAGTTGTGTTAAAAGACAAAGCAAGAAAAAACTTTTCTTGAGATTAGATTCTGTAATGCTCTTGGGAAGACAATACCAGGAACTAAATAGAATGTTTGAAGAATGACCTATTTGTGAAAGAATTTATGACCAGTCACTCAGCACAAGCTCAAATATAGAGCAGAAGCTTCTACACAGGCATGGAAACACACCTAAAACCTTAGGTTATTTCTGAGGCTTGTTCCTGACCTGGACAGGAAAAGCTGAAGTGAGCAGCAGGGTTCATCATTTTTACATTTCATATTTAAGGCCCGTTCTGGTGCCTCAGGGCTAGGGAAGGCCCATGGCACATCTCATCCCAGGGAACTGGCCTTGCTTAGCTCTGAGAAGGCTCAGGGAGGATCTGTCTCACATGAAAGCAATGGTGTGTCACTGAAACCCTCCATGTGGAAAAATTATACCCACGGACATTCATCAATGCTTGCTGAGCCTTTATGGAAGCCAAACAGTGGATGTGAGCAGCAGTGTGTGGTGCATTTCAGCAGTGGTGACAGTGACAGTGGATCACCTCCTCTGGTGCAGATTTTTACAAGTGAGGCATGCAGGCTCTTGTTTATCATCAGCAGAAATGCGTAATTAACGGTGGTGACTGTATTGAGAAAGTGCTTAATAGCTGAGAATTTGCTCTACTGAATAGCATTATCACATTCTTTGTATCTATTGTAGTCTCCATGGAAATAAATATGAGGCACTGCTATTGGAGCAACCAACATATTTTATAGGCACTTCAAGACAATTCCTCTTCACTCAGTGCAGCCCAGGGAAGCCAAAAGTTTGCACATCCATTACCAAATTCATCTACTTATTCATCTTGTAATGTGAACAGCATTAACATCCTCAACTACTACTGACAGGTGAAATAAAGACAGTATTCTTGAAAATTTCCAGTAAACAAGATGACAGTTTTTCTTATATAGTCTCTATCATATTCCCCTACTCTTACATTAGAAAATTTTCTCCTCTTACATAATCTAAATATCTTCACATAAATATTTTCATTCTTATCTGCTCAACTGGGTACAGAAAACAAATCTCTAGCAGCTTTACAGCATTCTTTTACATGCTGGAAGATTGTAATCCCATCCTCCCTCGGTCTGCTCTTTCCTATACTAAACAAAACTAATTATTTTAGCCATTCTTTTCAGGTCAGATTTTGTGATCCTTCTATCTGCGTAGAATAGCATGCTGAAGAAATTCCCATTCCTGAACAGGTGGTGTCAAAAGGTCAGGTCAGCTTTTTCTGAGCTCATGGGGTGAGACTATTTAGATGACATTTAAAAATACAGGTATTTCCAACAAAAAATGCTGGTGGAAGAAAATCTGTTCACTGGTCTAATTATTTGGCTATGCATCAAACCATTACTTCTGTTAGACAGTCAAGTGAGACATTCAGAATTCTTCTTCCAAATGAAAGAACTGGAAAATCTAACTAATCATTTTAAG